AAACAACAGATCCCCGTCTGTTCTTGTCGCGCTAGCCCACCCATCACCAGACCAGAACCAGTGGGACACAACAGGGTAAACAAACCCAGTCAAGAAAGAAGAGTAAATCAAATAAGCAACAAACTGGGTTCTTTCAGCTATTGAACCACTGGTTATCCCAGCAGCCGCTATAGCAAAAGCCCACTGATAAAGAAAGTAGCTGTAATCAAAAGAAGAAGAAGGGAAATTCTTAAGACCAAAGTTGTGTTTGCCAATGAACCCATTGGAGGGAGTCCCGAAGGCAAACGCAAAACCAAAGAGGTAATAAAAGAGACCACCGGCTGCAGCGTCAAGAACGTTTGTGAGCATTATGTTCATGGTGTTTTTGGCACGTACGGAGCCTGCACAGAGCATGGCAAAGCCAAGTTGCATGGAGAACACAAGGTAGGCAGAGAAGAGGAGATATGTGTTGTCCACGGCATATTGGGTGGCGGAGAAGTTGTCAGCCACGGTGTTGAATTGGGAGCAGATCAAATCAGCAGCCCCAGTGGAGTTAGCAACGTTGGGGCCCAGTAACTGGGCAAGATCGCCCGCTGAGCAGGTCATGGAAGCCATGATTTTGGAGTGAAGGATGTCAGAGTCTCTGGCAAATAGAGATGGAGAGAGGGGGCAGAGGGGTAGGAGATGGAGAGTTATAACAGAACTCTGAGGTTGTTGCTCAAGATCCTTATATATAGGGGAGGAAATGTGGGAGAACAATTAGATCCGGTAACTCTTTTGAAAGGTCCCGTTTAGTATATACCCTAGCTAGTCATAATTCCGTCTCAACTCATTATTCGGAACAAGACTCATACCATGAGTTGAGTGAGTTGAATCTAATATATTATTTTAAGATTTTTTTAAAATGTTCAAACAAGAAAGAAAATTAAATATTAAACTTAATCTTATCCCAGTTTTAATTGAGTTGTAAGTAAATTTATTAAATCAATTATACTTGACTGAGTTAATTTTCAACTTGGTCGGATAAAAAAATTAAATATAAATAAAAGCAAGACTTCTAAATTATAATAAGTTTAATAATACTGAAAAATACAGCTACAGTTTTAAATTGAATTTACTGTATTAATTTATTCATATTAATTTCATGTTACTGTTTCCACTAATAACTTCTGAATTATTTACCATTTTGATTGGCATTATGCGTGTGTTTATATTCTTCATCTAATATGCAAAAATGGAGCTTCGATCTCTTATTTACCATTTATTTTTTATCTGATAAAAATAATGATAGGTTTGTGATAATAATTTGCATTATCTTTTATTTTGCAGGTGTCATCTCTCACAGGCCCCAAATGGGAAAAACATTTATGAATTTCAATGAATAATTAGTGATATTTTATTATTATTTTAATATACTATAAAGAAAAAAATTATTTTTTTATGAGTCATAAAGACACTTTTAAGTTGTAATTATTAAAAAAAAAACAATTCGAATTCTTTCCATATTTTTTGGTTTTATATTGTGCTTGAGTAAATTTATCATTTTAAAGTAAATGAGTTTTTATTTTGTTCTTCTCAGTCCTAACATTCCATTGTCAAATTAGTCATATAATATATCCATGACTTCATGCTGTGCCAGAAATAATCCATCTTTCATTAAAAGAAGAATTAGACTGATTTTCTCAATTTAACTTTATATTTTTATATGATTTTATAATACACTATTCTACTAGATATTTTCATTTAAATCGAGAGAAATAATCTTACCTGCCCGAGAAACTCAAACCTCATCCAATTAATTTATATATAAGAAACAACTTGACAACAAAACAAATTTTCAAGCGGTTTTGATTTTTTTTTAATTAAATTAGTTTAGTTTTGAGTTTCCTTCATCAATCCGAATAAAAATATCTAATAAAATGATAGATTAGAAAACACCTTATATTCACGGATAAATTGAGTGTAATTAAATTTATATGGGTATATTAAAAATATATAATATTTTTTTTTACAATGTTAAATCAAGTGCATATCACGTGATTAATTCTTATAGTTTAATTGGGAATTATCATTAAAATAATATATTGAAACTCACTTATTTTACAAGGTTATAGGTGGCTAAATTATATTATTTTTATTTTTATTTTTAATTAATGAATAAATCTCACAAGTCGAGAAGAGAAACTAGGAGCCAATCTCTACTGCAAAGAAAATTATGGAAAAATCGAGTCATATTAACTAACCTTTAACTGCATAGAACAAATATCAATAGAAGGAACCTTTAGAGGGAACTGGAGCTTAATTATACAAGTTATGGATTTGCTGTCTCAAAATTATTAGTTTAAGGTTTAGAAATTTTAGTGTTACTAGATGTTCAAATAATTATTAATTTTAGAATTTATAAAATTAATCAAGAAATACATAAGTTTATCTAAATACCAATATTTTATATATATATATATATATATATACATATAAAAGAAATGATTTTTTTTAAAAATATTTTTTAAATAAAAAACAACCATAATTATATTTCTAAATATATACTAAATATACATGAGAGGGTATTTGTTACTTGGATCGATAATCACATTACAAGAGACCCTCTCCATACATATAAAAATAAAAATACTCATAAATTTATAAACAAAAAATAAAGAATAAAAGTTAGGTAAGTAACATGCCAAAATGCTTTAATTAATTATGTTTTTCATGGGATATGTAAAAGCATGATATCATTATTTTTTAAAATAATTTTTTTTAAAAATATTTTTAACATTAACACCTCACTATAAAAAAATAATTTTAAATAAATCAAAAAATTAAAAAAATATTTTTTAAATATAAAAACAAACGTATTATAATAACATGGAGATCTAAAAAGTCTTCAAAACGCGAATAATTAATTATTGATTTGTACCTGTAATTAACCAACGACACGCTATCAAGCGTGCACTGATTAGAATCTCTAAGAGGAATAAAACAGCTGTTATAGCTGTTTGTTTATTGCTTATCATGGCTTGCAATAAAAATAAAATAAAACGTGAGATTACGGAATCACATTTTGAGAATTGATCTTAGTTTTTACTGTGGGTTTGATTTTCAATTTTTTATGTGTTTATTTACTTTAAAAAATTTAATTAGTAAAAAATATTCTTTAATTACAAAAAAATTTAGTTTGGATTTCAATTTTTTTTTTATTGACCATGAAAAAAATTAAAAAATATCTTATTATTTGTTAATTATATAAAATTTGATCCTTAATTTTTTTATTGTTATATATATATATTTTTTTTCTTTATATTTTTCCTTTTAAAATTTAATTTAACTTGATTTTTATACAAATTTTGATTCCTATTCTTTTAATTATTATTAAATTTTTTTCTTATTATTTTTTAATTAATTTTTTTTATCACATTTTTTCTTATTTTTATGATTACTATGTATTTTATTTAAAATAATTTATATATAAAATTAGATTCTCATTCTTTTAATAAATTTTAAAAAAATATTACTAATTTATTTTTCAACTCATTTTTCAAATACTAAAAAATATTTTTAAATTTATTTTTAATATTATTAAAAAATATAAAAATAATTTATTTTCCATAAAAAACACTTCCTGAAATAAAATTATTTTTCAGCGGGTATCGATTTCAAACCGGAGACCACGGGCACAATTGATGATAGGCAGAATTAGAACTCCACCACTAATATTTATAAAACGAATCTCTCGTGTGTACAAGCCGCACAAAAATTTATTTTTTTATTTTTATTTCTCCACGTGGTTAATAGCTTGCAAGTTTGTATTAACTACGTAAATCAATACCAAATCTAGTTTTATGGTCTAATTGGAATTAAATTATCTATGTACAAAATGAAGAGTCGGCAAGAATCTTGCTTCTTGTAGCCCAGCTTGAAGTCCCCAACAATGGCTAAAGAGGTAATAAAACTTCCTTTTTCCTTAAACATAAAAACATTCTTCTTAGATTAAAAAATAATTCAAAGTAAAACAATCGTAATCTACTCTGGAATAAAACCAATCATGGCTAGCACCTGCCAAAGAAAAGGAAAATGGGATTAATTATTTTTGTTTTCCCTTTATTTTTATGTATTTATTGACACTTTCAACTATCCTCATCAGCACAAAACAAGGTTACATTGCTACGAAATATAAACAAGAAAGCTGAATAGTCAACGGATGGGAATTATATAGTACTCTTTTAAGCATTCTTGACAAGGTTACACTGTGCCGTACGAAATGTAAATATAAGCAATGTCAATGGCGGTGTGTGGTGTCAACAATTTTCAATGGGCACCGGCACCGTTTTACTAGATTGCAGGGCAGCTTACGCCAAGTAGAAGCTGAAATCCAGCGTACGGCCTTTTATATTCATATATCAGAGTCAACCGTATGACATTTCCGCTGCTGAAGACTTTAGAAACACAGAGGTATGGTCTAATAAAACGGGGGCTTTGAAGCTTTTTTACGAGATAAGACAGTCCACGGCTCCCTTGCCTGATCAATGAGGACACAGTGGGCGCCATGATGACAGATCAAATCCATTAAAAAACAATGAATCCATCTGTCTGTGCCATCCATGGAAGTAGATGCATTAATGGGGTGATGATTCTTGCAAGCAAGCATCCTAAACAGCGTTGCGTTCACAAAATAGTCAACGTTAAAAGTCCACTCACAATTGTAAGCATTCACCAGTGAGAATCTGAATGGAGGCTGCGTTTGGAATCTCGACCAGTCGACCGGATTCAGATGTCTTGCTGACAGCTGAATTTGAATCGATCAGTCTAAAACATGTGATTCCAAAACCCGTGGCGCAGAATTAACCATGAAGATACCTATGGACGATTACATTTCTGAGTTTTTTTTTCAGATTCTAGCATGTTAAAAAAATAATAATAAAATAGCAATAATTGCCATTCTGGAGCTCACTTATGTTTAGACCATTCATGTGATGATGTAGTCCACCACGGTTATTGGTGGTGATCTTTATCAATTATTATGCCTTCAAAATCTTTTTTTTTCCTTTTTTTTATTGAATCTTATATCCAGATCCCAAAAAAACCTACATTTCTTGCCACAAGCCTAGCACGCAACTAGGGTTGAAAAGTAACGCTTACAATCGAAGTTGTCAAGAACTCCTTATGGCGGAGCCGTATTCTGTTGAAAAATGGAATTTGTAGACACCTAGAAATTCTGAGTTTCAGATTCCAGGTCCAATAAGTCTGTTTCACATTCATGCTCTATATTCGGATACAGCTAAAAACACTATGTTCAACATGTAGTTCTACAACTAAATAGCATTGCATTTGCTGTATCATCTTTTTTTTTTTTTTGTGGGTCAATCATATGAAATTTATGAAGAGCCTCAAGCCACAAATTGAAATTGAGGAGGAGGGGACAAAATCTTAGAAGAACTCTACTCGTCAACTTCTTTTAGCCTTTTCTTCTGCTGCCTTCGCTGATCACGTAAACCTGGATGAGAAAGTAAAATAACCTTAGGGCATGATAGACAGTTGCAATGAAAAAACGTGAAAACGGAAAGAGATATGGAGAACTGATAATACGTTTCTTCTCTTCCTTTCTTTTTCTCCTCAAATTCTCCAAGTCCCTACGTTTTTCTGCAGTCTCTTTCACGTCCATGCTTACCTGAGAGCAGGATAAAGACATTATAGAAACCAGCAACCAAATATTATATACATGACAGCATTAACTATATTGGTTCTTCAAATGATATATGTAACAAGATTTTGAATTTACAGTATTTTCAAACAAAAGAAAACGCTCATATTGGAGTCCAAGTGTACCATATTTTGAATTTAGAGGCCTACAGAAATGTTTAATAAAGTAATCACGAAAAGTGGGGAAGAACATGAGTGGAATCATAGCTGAAACATACTACCTCCTGACCAGAACTTCGGAGTGCCTGGAGTGGCTCCACACAATCTTGACCAATAACCACCAATTTCCTTCTTTTGTTATCTCCCAAATTCACACCTTGGTCTAACTTTTGCCTTGTTAATTCTTCAAACTGATGTTGCAGGAGAGGTGAAATCCCAGCCTGCAGGAATAGTTGCAGTCAGTAGTTAAGATCCTTACACGAGAAAATTCATTTTATTTACTGCAGGATAAATGACTCATCACAGGTAGCAATTTATTCTAACATCATCTGAAATCAAGCATCAAATAAATGCTAGCCAAACTATATCCCATTAATGCCCCTGCTGTCCCCAATAAAAGAGTTGGGCGTCACATACAAAACACCCGTGCACTATCAATGGTCAACATCAGAATCATTACAACCTTCAGCTGACCAAACCAATCATTCAGGTTTCAAAAGCCTTCAACTAACCTAGATTCTAACACCACACAGAATTTAGGATAAGCTCCAAACTCGAAGTAAAATATTGCAATAAAGCTCTGATAGTGTGTTCCAACAACTATTAGGCAGACTTCATCATTTAACAACATATATTGATATGTAAAAACAAACATCTCAGTATATGACATGAAAATCAAAATTGCACATCTAAAACAGGTAAAGGCATATCCATATATTACTATTTCTAAGAACTCAGACATGTTTCTCCAAGGAAATAAAAAAAGAACGCAGACATGTTTGTCCAAGAAAAAAAGAATCTGGGCATGTTTAAGAGTACTACAGTTTGTGTTTGATCATCAGATTGACACAATCAATGGTAACCAAGAAAAGTTAAAGGTAATGACCAGTTGATTATTACCCCTGCCAAATAGCGATGTGAAAATGATTTTGGTTGCAAAGGACGTGAAAGCAGAGTGTTAAGCTCCTGCAAATTAAATCCAGAAGAAATTACTATAGTTGCCTCTTCAAGGAAAAAGAAATGGCCAAACTCTCAAATTTCACAGAACCAAAATTAGAATAAGAATTTATCGTAGTAAACAAAACCTGCTGTAAATTTTTCAATTGCATTGAGGTGACTCTCTTTTGCTTATGATTGCTCACTCTTTCCTCCTCACTGTCATCATTCTCCACCATTAACTCAATTGATTCTGCATTTCGTTCAAACCAGGTTTTCTTTGCCTTCTCCTAGAGAAGCACATGTAACAGTTATAGAATGAAGCAGAAGTAGTATTTCAGGAAACTGATATTTCAAGTTCCTAAACTATGCAGGCAGAAATAAGGAGATCCCAAATCACATGAGCCAAGCAAAAGATTCATCTACCTGGGAGTCCTTTCTTGTAATCTTGTCTATTTGACGTGCAAGAGACAGCCGTCTCATCACCTCTGGCATGTATGACTCTTCTAAAGGAAATCTCTGAAAACTTTCCTGCATAAAGAGAGGAGACAACCCAACAATTTACTGAGGCAATCCTTAAATCCCAACATTTGTTCAAAAAGAATAAAAACAGAGGAGGCAATCCTTTATGGAATCCTACAATTTAGGGCTTCATGTAAAAAAGCAAGAGTGCTAAGCGCTGCTGATGATATAATTATGAAAAATGGCAAAATCTAATGCTTAAACTTCCAAAATCCTCAATCAAGTCTAACCTTTCTTTAAAGAATAATACAATAGAAACCAAAGCATACTTTTCAAGAATAATGTACTCAAACTAGTAAAGTTTGAAACTTTGCAAGAGCTGCTACCTTTGAAAATGATTTGCACAAAGAGGCAAATTTTGAAGTATCATTTGATGATATAAGGGCAATGCTGCATCCATCAGTACAAGCTCTTGCAGTTCTTCCACTTCGGTGAACATAAACCTAACACAAAAGGATATAATATAAGTTTAATAGAACAAAAGCAAAAACTAATAAAAAATGCGATGCATTCCAATTACTTCTGCTGAATGTGGAAGCTGATAGTGAACAACAGTTCGGACACCAGGGATGTCGAGGCCTCTTGCAGCAACATCTGTAGCAACAAGGATAGCATGTTCATTTGAACGAAATCGATCTATTGCCTGCATTAGACAAAAAGGAGAAGTTGGTTGGTGTGAAGAAACACAAGTCACTGCATCTTCTGACAAACAAAATCACAAATTTAATTGGCAGAAGATAGTTATTATGTTGAAAAACATAGAACTTATTACCTCTGCCATTTGCTTCTCCCAGAGACAGAGAAAGATAAAGAACTCCTAGATCACAACTTAAAACAAGTAACTCAAAAGAAAAGGAAAGAAACGTAAGAAAAGATGGTGGGCACTTAATTTACCAAGCAGGGTTTGCAATTGCCTTGTCTTATAAACTCTTGTAATATTTAACGCTCTGGCCCACTTAACATGTACAGTTGATTCAAAAACATTATAGCTCTGCTTTCTCTTGTTCCAAAAGACAAGGACCAAAAGTTGTAATGCACTCACCCTGGAACTAAACGGCAACATATGATTGTCTGATAAACTGATAATCTCCAGAATCTGATTGCCCACTTAACATAACCAGCTCAAAACTAATACAAGGCCTATTAAATGGGTTGAGTGTTCAGAAACTCAGCGCTCATCATGAAATTATGTGAAGTTAATCCGCTTGTATCACCCACATAGAGCACACGAAACACTTGAATAGCTACACCAAAACTGATGATATGCATTTCCAACTAAAACCATATGCAATGCCTCTGATTAATAAGTTGTCTTGCCCCTTTCAAGGCACATCATTAACCGGTGGCTCTAATGTGTTCAAAACAAGTCTACAACGGTTTGCAACCAATTTGAATAGCTAGATTATAGTATCAACAACATGAGGCATTAAATCCTATTCATTTATTAAACTATTTATTTTAGAATTGTACTCAAGCATTAACTTTAAACACAGCACCACGTGCAAAATTCAATTATCACATTATAAATGAGCATGGTTCGAACTACTTCAATAAAAAAGAAAGGAAAAATACAAATCACAAACCTTCAAACGAGCTCGCTGCTGCATCTGAGCATGAAGTGTCCAAACATTGATGCCTAGGATGCGCAAAAGGGCAGAAGTGTGGCGCAAAGCTGCAATTGATGTACAGAAAACAATTGTGCGACCTTGTCCATGAACACTCAATATATAATACAGGTAAGCATCTTTATCTTCTTCCTTACATCTGCAGTCATTTTAGTAAAAATTGAGAAAGGCAAGTGATGCAATATGATAACATAAAATTTTGCTAAAAACAAAAACATAAAGATTACATATAAAGTGCAAATGTAAAGGCAAAGAGTGTAAATGATCCTTTCATTAATAACTCCTGAAATTAAGAATTAAACAAGTTAAAGTTGAAGATATACCAATCAGAGAGAGCAAGATGAGATCAAAGCAATCTTATAAAAATACGTGTCCTGTGTGCACAAAAAAGAAAGAAAAAAGAATGCAAACAAATAAAAAGGTGCAGCACAACCACTGAACTACAGCCCATGTAAATTCTGAGGACAAGCCAGATGACCTTGGAATAATATTTTGGCTGTGCAAACCAGTCTACAGACATGAATTTGCAGAGGCATGCATACGTGCATGTTGGAATGTTAAACCTTATAGCCATCAACATGGCCAGTCCTATTGTAAAATATAGTGGTATGCCAAATTTAGAAATCCAGCACAAGCTTCAAAACATCCCAGCATGTAGCTTGTAAACCACTTAGATTCTTGCATTTAGCAGTTATAAAGATTCTAATGGGAGATGCAGTGTAAGACACATACTCTATAAAAGATTCCTCAAGCTTATTTGCGAGGATTGATGCATTTGTCAGGTCAATGATGGCAGCATTTGCTCTCATTCCAGCTCGTTCAGAGAGCATTTCTATGGAATTCAGCCCATCAGCCATTGATTGCTTTGATCTTAATGAGCCACGCTTTAGCTTCTTGCGAAAATCAGCAGATAATGCTATAGTTGCAGAAAAAACAAATGTTTGTCTTTTCTTTATTTGCATGTTTGAAAGTGTTTGGCAATTTTCTGAACTTTGAGATTGTCCTCCAATTGAACCACTGGCCATGGGCAGCATGTCAATAATAGACTGTAACTCACGAAAATGTCCATTTTCAATCATACGATCTGCCTCATCCAGCACAAAGAAAGATAATGAATGCAACTGCAGAAGAAAACAAACAGAGACAATATGGCACATGAATAAGGTGCTTAAATGTGTTTTATCTAGAAACCAAAAGTGTAAAGATCCAAAAACTAAGTCAATAGAAAAAAGTTAATCCGATTCTAGCAGAACAAATACTCTCCCTGAATACATCCAATGTATATATCACATGCAATCACTAACCTCAACAAGATGCTTTTCCCCTCCTGACATAAGTTCCCACAACCTCCCAGGAGTCCCAACAATAATCTCGGGCCTTGCTTTCAAAAGTCTTTCCTGCTTCTCTGTTGACATCCCACCAACAATCGAAACCACCCTAATATTGATACCATGAGCTGCTTCCTTAAAATGGTCAGTCACCTGGAATGGATAAAAAGAAGACCCACATGGAAACTTCAAATCTGACAAAGCTAAATTTGCAGAACCTAAGAGCATGTTGGAGAATTCAGGATCAGTGCTGAGAATTTCATTCAAAATTATGACTACCTGAATGGCAAGCTCCCTTGTTGGAGTGATGATGAGAGCACGCAAAAGACCTTTCGGCGCAAACCTTTCAGCTTCCTCTCCCACATTGTTACCCATGTTTGAAGCCTTATCTTGTTCCTCGAGGAGACGTTGCAAAATGGGCAAACCAAAAGCAAGAGTTTTGCCTGAGCCAGTTTCTGCAGCTCCAACAACATCCTACAACATGAAGGCACAATGATGAGAACAAGACCAAACAGCATTATCCACAATTAAGCCTTAAACAATAACCTTAACCAACCTTCCCTTGATGAGCTGCAGCAGGAATACAAGCTTTCTGTATTGGTGTTGGTTCCTTGAACCCAAGCCTAAATATCGATTTCATGAGCACAGGATGAAGTCTCAACTCATTCCATCCATAAAATTCAGTCTCGTCAACTGATTCTCCTTCTACATCATCCTTGTTATTGCTAACTACAGTCGCACAATTGTGGAGCAATGAACAATCTTCATATTGGTAAATTACCATCAATTAACTAAAGTTTTTAATATTAAAATGCACCAAAACAACAATAACAGACAATATATCAATCAAGAGCACATGGAGATCATAGAAAAAAGTTTATAAGTGATCGTGAATTTACAAATGACCAAAGCGCAAATGTTACGAGATCAAAATGCATCTGAGTATTTCAGAGACCAACCTCAAATTCAAATCCTGCCTTGATTTATAGACATCAAAATCAAGGAACCTCAAAGCTGACCAAATTTCAATAACACAAATAAACTCAACAGTAAACCGAACTCCAACAAGTAAAAAGTGTTAGCCCATACCCCAAACTTAAAAGACTGTACATTAAGCCACAAGCCGGGATCCAGAATTTATATGATAAGCACTAACCAGAAGTAGTTTCATCAACCTTTGATGATTCCTTCGCTTTCTTTTTCTTCTTTCTCTTCTTCCTCTTTTTCTTAACCTCCACGTTTATCCCCTCCTCCTCCGCCTCCTCTTCAACCCCATCAGCATCAACATCAACATCACTATCCTGCTGTTTCTTGGATTTATTTTTTCTTTCTTTCTTCACCTTCTTATCAAGACCAGGAATTTCAAAACCATAATCACCCTCGTCAATCTCTTCAAGTGATAGAAACCCTGCATTCACCGCCCCCAAAAAAAAAACGCAATCATATAAAGAATCAGGTTCAGGTCCAAGCTTAAACCCTATAAACCCTACCGCAAAGTATAGTTAAGAAGAAGGAAATACAAGATGGAATGGGTGAGTCCAACCTCCTTCGAGCTCGTGAGAACCAGCAATAACAGAGAAAGGATCGTCTTGAGAGATGGAAGAGTTCCATGGGAGTGAGTCGAGTCGGTCGATTTCAGGGTCAATATGGGTTCGCTTTCTTTTTCCCTTTTTGTTGTTGGACTGTTTAGAAGATACTCGTGGTTCTGCTTCTGTAACGGCGGCCATTCCAGAGTTGCAAGCTTTTCAAACACTGGTATTTTTGCTTAAATGCACTGGCTGCTGTAGTCTAGGCAAGGCAAGGGCTTACATAAATATCACGAAGCGCATTTATTTAAGCACGAATTGGAAACGAATACCTGTAGTGGCTGGTGGTGTAATTTTTCTTATATTTATGGCTATTCTTTTATTGTTTTTGTAGGGAAACACGAAATTCGTGCTTTTTAAAGGGAATTTATAAGCCACGCCTCCCTTCTTCTTTTTTCTCCGTTCAATTTGTTTTCCCTTGACGAAGTTTTTGTTTTTGACGCAGCTCACCGCCGTTGTATAAAAATATATATATATATTTAAAATTAAAATTAAATATTTATATATTTTAAAATTATTTTGATAGGTGAATATTAAAAATGAATTTAAAAAATATATTATTTTAATTTATTTTCAATTAAAAATACTTTTAAAAAATTATTGTTATTATAATATAAAATATTACCTTGATCCCGAGAGTTTTAACGGGCTTTCGATGGTTAGTTGGTCCTTTTACTTGTAAAAAATGTTTCATTGAATCCCTCTACTAATATAAAACAGCATTGTGTCTCTCAACGCCTCAAAATGTTTACGGCATTCAAACTTAAAGATTGATGAATTATATCGTGACACGTAAGACTTGAACCATTTTCTTCCAAAAATATCAAATAAGTTTTGAAAACAAATAGAGAAACAAGAACAAATTTTGACATAAATACTAAAAAAAAAACAAAACTATGTATGCTCTCAAAATCATGTCGCATTTTGCTTCTTTTTTTTGGCAGAAATATTATTTATGTTATTACCAAAATAATTATTTTTTATTTAAGAATATATTAAAATAATATTTTTAATTTTTAAAAATTTATTTTTGACATTAGCATATCAAAACTATCTACAAAAATTTAAAATTTAATTAATTAATTAATTTTAAAATAATAATTTTAAAATACAAAAAAAGTTATAAGTTTTAAAAATTTCATATTTATAAAAAGTGAAATTCTAGTGTGAGAAAATTTATTCGAGTACATGTGTCGTTCATCAGGTGTTAAGTGCTAACATCATCAGTGTGCAGAGACACAGGCAAAGGGCTAATATTAAATAAAACTTTATTGTGCGGGACACAAATCGACATTAATTCACTGAAGGGACTCAATTAAAACTTTATTGTGCGGGACACAAATTGACACAAAGCCTCGCAATTAACCCCGAAACGAGTTACTTTTCTTGCAATAAAATTCAAAAACAATTTTGCTTTTAAGATTTCTTTGTTTTCAATGTATTTTTAGTTAAACAATATCAGACACCCATTAAAAAATTAAAAAAATATTAAGTTCCCGTGAAAAAAATAAGATAGTGAGATAAAACCTTTACTTTAATGTACGATCATAAAAAATCTTTAAATTTAAAAAAAAAATAAAAAAATCAATATTTTGATTTTGAATTATGAAATTTTTTCAAGATAAACCTTTTCTTTTAAAATTTTTAAATTTTCAATTCTACAAACATTCTTTCTAAATTTGAAAATTTATTGAATTTTTTTTTTCTTTTTGATTTTTTAATCTCAAGGCATCACAAAACAAAATAGCTCAATTTTTTTACTATTCATCAAGACACATATTATTATGAAATAAAACAATGTAAAATCACAATTATTATTGCCAAAAAAATAGTTAAATATACAATTGAGAATAGAATTGTTTTTTTAATGAGATATATTTGCGATTGAAAAAATCATTAAAAAAAAATAATTTATTGATTTACTATAGTGTAAATAATAATTTGCTTTTGAGGACATAATTTATTAATCTTTAGATGGAGGCTTTTCTAAAAAAGTTTAAATAGTGAAGTCACACCCTTACCTTTAGAAAAAAAAGAAATAAAATACAAAATTACTCTTAAGTTTTGAGGGAAAATAAAGTTGTAAGCGGGGGTGTTTTTGTCATTTTAATATCGTTTGAACACACACACGCACATTATTGTTTATATTAAAAAATAGTTGGTGTCGTACTTTCCTTTCAAGTGGTGCATACAATGCCAAAACAATATTAAACGATGACTTTCAGGGCTATGTTTAATGTGCCTCGCAACTCAAAGCATAATGGTCAAGCACATGCGACGATGCAGTATGTGAAGGAGCTCCACCCAAGGGTATTTTCCTCTCTCCCTCTTTCCCCTCTCACCTCATGGAACATCGTGTTACCTATTGTAAAAAAAAAAAATCTAGCTATTTATTTATTAAATTAAATTAGATCTTTATTTTTTTTATTATAATATATTTAGTTTTAAATAATTTATTAAGTTAATTTCTTTTTAAATTCATCCCTTCATAATTGATTTTTTATATTAGATTTGATCATCATTCTTTTAATCATGGTATATTGGGTCTTAAATCATTTATCAAGTTTTTTGCCTTTTAAATTTATCAATTTGCACTTGGTTTTTATATGAAATCTGGTTTTTATTCTTTTAATTGTGATGTATTTAGTTTTGAATCCTTTATTGAATTGAATTATATTTGAATTTCATTTATTAATATTTTATTTTTATATCAAATATAACTCTCATTCTTTTAATTATTATTTTTAGTTGTTCTTATTTTTTTATATATTGAAATTGTTTTTCAATATCACCCCTTGTAATTTGGTTTTATTTTATTTTTGCATCAAATTTGGTTCTTTATCTTTTTAAATCCTTTATTTTTAAAAAATTTGTTGCTAATTATTTTGGTTAGTTATGACTTTTACATTGTTATTTTTTTATGATAAACTTTTATGTTGTGTCATGTTAGGAAAATTCTAATGGCTGGACTGGATTGGTTTTGGTAATTTTTTTTATTGTTTTTTTAAATTTTATCTATCGTCATTTTGTACATTGGAAATTGATATTCTTTATTTTTTTTAGTTCATTTGTTAATTTGATTTTTTTAAAAAAATTTCCCCATTAATTCAATATTTTTGTTTTTCCTCTTATTTTTTTTTCAAATGAGGTTTTTATTCTTTTAATTGCTATTTTTTTTTATTTTTTTTCCAAATGATTTTTTTATTGTTATTTATAAGTCCTACTCAGGAGTCGATTTGGGACATTGATCGGATCATGAATTGAGTGAGTTGACTTAAGTTGGCCAACCAAGTCCTTTATATATATATATATATATATGTATGTATGTAAAATCAAAATGATATCATTTTAAAAGAAAGAAAAATAATTAATGGGTTTTAATCATGTTTTGACTGGATTTCATTAAAATATGAGTTAACTTGAGTTCTTGACAGTTTTACACTTGATTAATTATTTCTCAATTTCTTTCATATGTAATATTTCTAGTTTACTTGATACTTAGGATTATGAATTTAAAAAATTTACAAGAGTTGATATTATTTTTTAAACAAATTATATCCTTAGAAGTTGTTTGTTTTTAAAAAAAAACTTTGTTTATTCAGGTGACTTAAGTTTTTTCTAAAAAGTTTATTTTTTAAAGTTTTATTCTTCAAAATTCAATTTTTTTTAAAATTTTATCTTCTATTTGATTATCATATCTACATCATTTTATTTGTAGGTTTTGATACCTTCATTTGATTATCTTTTCAAAGTTTTATCTATTATTTTTTTAATTTTATATTCTGATTTATGAGCAACTATGATTATTATTTTTTTTAGTTTATTTTATGATACTGCATCGTTAGTTTTTTTTTTAAATGCAATGATAACACTCAAGCAAAATTTTTTTATATTGCATAAAATATTATCTAATTCATGAGGAAGCATTTGCTGTCTATCTATTTTTTTTTTTCTACATCAGCTCCAACTTTAATTTACAAGATAAAATTAAAAACAAGTTAAACGAAAATTTGACAAAAGACGCGACGATAAGAAATTTGTTGAGCAGAAGGCATACATAAATTCAAACAAAAACATAGAAATCACAAAAAATAAATAAACAAAGAGATGAAATTGGTGAAGAATGGTGGAAGGATACAAGGAATGAAATGATGAATACAAGGTCTCCACCTTCGGACAATCATATGAGAAGTTTTCACATGTTAATTTTAATGGAAGTACGTGCCCTAACGCACCACAGCTTCATCACCTGTACCCTCTCCCTTGCCACCAAAATATCTCCCACCAAAATACCGTACAATGCCCTCCATTCTTTTCAAATGCATCCCCTTCATACACCCAAAACCTCACCCCTTCCCTCTTTCTCACCTCACCGCTATGTGCACCAAAACCAAAACTCGCTTAAGAGGTGTCGTTTTCGACATGGACGGAACCTTAACCGTCCCCGTCATTGATTTCTCCTCCATGTACAAGGCCGTGCTAGGAGAAACCGAGTATCGCAGAATCAGACAAGAAAATCCATCTGGCATCGACATTTTGCATCTCATTGAGAGCTGGAGCCCTGATGAGCAGCGAAAGGCTAATGAGATCATCCTTGATTTCGAGCGACTAGGTCGCGAGCGATTGCAAATCATGCCTGGTGAGTCATTGGATTGCAGCGATGCGGCGTCGTATATTCGTTTCATACTTGGATTCACCTGCTGATTTTTTTGGGAAATTACTGAGCTGCAGGTGCAGCTGAGCTTTGTGGCTTTCTTGATTCCAAGAAAATTAGGTACTAAAAGTTTCAATATACAATTACTGGTGTTTCATTTGCGCTGAGGAATTTAGTTTATTTGTGATTGAATAACCTAATTGTTTTTTAACCATTCAAATGTGTGAGTTAGTTCCATATTATTAATCATGGCTATATGTAAGAACTACATTGGGGTAGCTTGAGTTGCTATAAAATGAATCTATATCTCCCATTTTACTACTCACAACAAGGTGGATTATTCGTTTACTGTTTTTTTTTTTTAAATGGTGGGTTGGGGTTTAAAATTGAGTTTTAATTAATCTTATGTTACAAGTGCATATGTGCATGTTAGATTTGCTACAGAATGCGTGCTTGCTTGGTCTATTCGTGAAGTGATGATCTGGAGTGACGGGTTGAAAAGTTGAGAAAAACAATTTAATTTACTGCCAAGCGTGCAAGTGAAATAATGGTAAAGCAGAATTTCATATGATTTTGCATGTCAGGTGAAATTCAGAATGTAATTGATGCGTGACTTTTGCTTGCAACTATGCCATAGACAATGCAGCTCTTGTAATCACACTATGCTTTCCTAAAGAAATTATGTGGCACCTGTATGGTCATGATAACAAAGCTTTTACTTGTTTCAGAAGGGGATTGATTACGCGAAATGTCAAGGAGGCAGTAGATCTCTATCATCAACGCTTTGAGGTAAGTTAAAACACATTTAGTACAGTGCATCAAGGTTCTTGAGTGTATGTAACATGAAGATTATTTCTGCCATAGCTCCACAATCTTCTTTGAATGCTCGGATCAATCACATTTTAGCGTGCAATGCCTGAAATGGGCGTTTAAAGAGTGAATTGCTATAGCAGAATTTGTCAGGTTAAACATCTTCAATCTGTGTGGGTCTACAAACAAAATGCATTGTCTAGTCCATACAAAGTCCATCAGGACTGTAGATCAGGGAATGGGAGCTTCACGGCATAAACCTTTCCCGCGTCCAATTTGACTGTTTCTTCAAAACCACGTTTTCACTCTCCCTCCCTCCCTCCCTCCACAAAAGTCCCTCAGGATTGTTTATGTGCTTCCTGAATCCTTAATTTACGTATAGATCATACTTATTTTTTTTATCAATCCATATATATCATTCTTGGATTCTTCTCTCACTTGAGCCTGGACACCTCACATGCTTGCTCAAAGGTTTGCCTCTTATTGTCACGAATAACTGATACCTCCCTTGGCTCAATTCTTACCATCTTGTTTCAAAGAGCAACAGGTTTGTAATTTTGCTTAGGCTTACGCAGGAAAAGAAAGCTTCTGCTGAAAAGAACCCTTTTTTCTTCAGTCCTTCCTCCCACTTTTAGTGTATAGCCACCAAAAAGTTCTGTTACATTTTTCAGAAAAAAATTATAAAAGGACCTTTTTCTAATTTTAAGCAAACAGCAAAACCAATACACCTCTTCAGATGTGACCCAGTTTTACATGTGCTTGTGTCCGCATTGTCTGCCCTTTGCACTGGGAACCTTTTTAATTGTTCTACCAGAAATATTATGTTTTAATCTTCCACGCTATGTGTTTTTGCTGCAGATTGTGTTTTCTCCAGCATTAAGCAGGGAGTTTCGTCCTTATAAGCCAGATCCTGCTCCTCTGCTGCATATCTGTTCAACTTGGGATGTCCAGCCCAATGAGGTCATGATGGTTGGTGACAGCCTCAAAGATGATGTGAGTGATATTCTTCTTAAGTTTTTTTTTTGATACATTGTGCTGTCTTTGATGCTTATATCAAAAGGATGGAAGTTTGCTTCTACGACTGAAGGGTTGATGTGATACAATTATTCTTAGTTGTGTCGATTGATTGTGTGACCACTGCTTAAGCAATGGGTGATTGATTTTATGGCTTGTACAGGTGGCCTGCGGAAAGCGCGCCGGAGCCTTCACATGCTTGCTTGATGAAAAAGGGAGGTACGGTTCTGCTGATTTTACCGAGTTGGATCTAGAACCAGACTTCAAGGTCGCTTCCCTAGCCGAAGTTCATTCACTATTGGAGACAAATTTTGATTTGATGCCTTGATTTTCAATGTCCTGATGAAGACTTTCTACACTTCATTGGAGAAACATTTTGTATTATTGTCATGTGAGCGAGGACTTAAAGAGGGAACGAAGTTAAAAATCCCCTCCATGATGTTAAATGGTCAAGAATCAAAGGCCATGTCACTAAATAAAGAAAAGGTGGCCAATTCATAAATATAACTAGCCATTGAACTTTTTTTTATCAAAAAAAATATTAGGTATGTTAGTTATTTTAATGTGTTTTTTTTACATAAAAAAATTCAAAGGATAATTTGAATAGCTTAGGCAAACAAGATTAAGATATTCTACAATATAAAATGATATGCATTTAATTATATTTATTGAATTTATTTATCTAAATAAATAAAAGATAAATTTATACCCGAAAAATCTATAAATTAAAAGATAAATATAATTGAAATTGGTTAATTAAATTTATGCCATAAAAAATACATTAGTAATATAATTTAAAAATAAATGTTTTTTTATTTTTATAAAGTCTTTATTTGTGTTAAAAAAAAATATGAAAGAGGCATTGATATATCTTAATTTCTAGGTTTTTCTTTTTTGTTGTTCCTTTTGTAGTGAGAATATGAAGAAAATTAACCTATTGGGGGTTGAAATTATGCCTTATGACTTGTGAAAATAAGGAAGATGACGAAGGCTAGAAAGAGAATGTAACTAGTGCGGTGAAGTTGTAACTGATACGTCTTTTTACTCTGCCAAGACAACTGGATAAATGTCAAAGATATAAACAATAATTTTAGCTATGTTATTTAACCATGACAACACATAGCATTGAGTTTGGAATGCTCTTCTGCTTTCTAGGATCAATGTTTATACCCACTATCTTGATATAGCTGATGCAGAATGATTCAGTGACAGATTGCGAAGAAGCTGTATGCGAGCCAGGGAGTGCTCCGCCATACATTTCAATCGTCCCCGTGGAAAAGCCTATCAGATTCTGCTGCCCAGGACAAACCGTGTCTACAAACTTATGCAGAGTTTGGTGGCTTGTGGGCTACAGGATTGAAAACATCAGAGCGCAGTAGTGTGTCCAGTGGAGTTTTTTGTTAATGTTTAAGGGAGAATACAACGTGAAGATAGAGGTCATGCAAAAAGAGATTTACAGTGTGAGGATTCTTGGTAAGATTCCTGGGCTCCTCCTACTCGGTGCTTCAGGGACTGGTGACTTGAATGGATGAACTGTTGATGGAAGGGATGACTAGTTGATGACTTTTGGGACAAAATTGAACTGAGTATGGTTGTTTGAAGATTAAGAGGTAGGTGCTTGATGTACAGAAAAAAAGTTAACACCAACACAAAAAAAAAAGAAAAAGAACAATTGATTGCTAATTTAAAAAATTAGAATACTTATCTGAAAATAGTTTAAATATCATTAACTCAATTATAAAAATCATGAAAGTTTAAATACTTATTATTATCTTCAAAAATCTCCAGGACTTGGATTCCACACACACGCACACGTATATATACCTTCACCGTTAATAGTTGCCAATCCCGCCTCACCGGTGACTCTTTTACAGTGAAATCCATCAACAAAAGGCTAGACTTGTGGTAATCGATTTTTTCCAAAACAAAGATATTTTCGAGCTAGTAATCAACCACACGGGTATTCCAAAATAAAGTGAGGCTCTATGCCTTTTTTCTCAACTAATGAAAGCTATCTATATCACTGCCAAAAAAACGGGGCAATTCACCAGGAAATTAAGCCCAAAAACATCTTAACGGACAGCAGATTCAGGGTGAAGCTTGCGGATTTTGGATTCGCTAAGGTTGTTAGGAAGAGAAAGACTGTGAATGGGGTGTGGGGTCACCGTAATAAAGAGCGCCTGAGGTTTTGTTGGGGAATGAATATGATGAGAAAGTGGATGCGTGGAGTGCTGAGGTGGTGATGTATATTATGTTGGCGAGGTCTCCTCCGTTTAATGGGAAAACGATTGAAAGAGATTTCTAACGCAATTTTGAGAAAGGATTTGAGGATTCCTGATGAAGTTTTCTAATCGGTTTCAACATCAGTTATAGATCTTTTGAAGAGGATGTTTTGTAGGAGTCCCGCCAGGAGGTTGTCTGATGAAGGAGTATCAAGTGATCTGCTCTTGTTTCTAATACTTCGAGTTAATCACAGGACATCCATGGTTTTTATTGCTCTAGTAAGACATATTTGACGAGGGTGAAATTGTAGTAGAGGTTGATGTTTCGTGGCTCTTGCATGAGGACTAATAGTTATACTTCATAGCATGCCTGGTTCTGGGGTAGAGGAGATTCTTCAAGGCCAGAGATTTTTATAGAGCACCACTGCATATTGCTCTGAGTATCGTGGTGACTGCAGCTGCTTGCTTGCTCGACAAGGATGATGAAGCTGTTTGGTTAACATGTTGGTAATTATGGTGAAACTGATGTTTTTGCATTTTAAACTATTTCAAAAATACTTTTGCCTATTTTAATATATTTATGAATAAAACACAACATCTACCTTTTTTCTAAGAAGCCTGGAGTACAGCTTCTTCAATGTCACCGTCTTGACCCATAAAATTCTGCATAATTTGGACTCGTAATCCTCCTATCTCCTTGTAATTGATGGAGAGAGAAGGGCCCACCAAATCCCCATTAATAAAAATACAGCAGAACAAATCAAGCCATCATCAGGCATAAGCTGCCTAGAATCACGCAATCTTACAATATTCAAAACCCTTTCCTGCACTCTTCTGGATTTCTCTCTTCCCTTGAAAGCTTCATCTTTCTTCTTTCAGCAACCTTAAACTGGGTTTTTCGCTTTTGTTGCACCTCTTGTTTCCAACTCACAAACTGAGTCATTATAAACTGCATGGACATTAATCTTAGTAACTTCTTAACCTCTTAGTAATCAAGAATTATGTTTCCTTTATCAATTGCCAGTCAAAGTCCAGTTACCAAGTTGTCTCCAGATAACCCAAAAATAAAAATATTCTCTTCTAACAAGTTATCTCTCTTGAAAACAGTTCCATGCTCTTTTCACAAGAAGAACCCGAACACCATTAACAACCCTTCAAAGCCCAAGTCTTATCCTTTTAGCTCTATTTTAATAGCCCCAGATCAAGTTTCTCCTAAGAAAGGTAAGGTAAGCAGGGGATACGAGGAAAAGAGAGGTTTTGGCCATTTGGGAAGCCACCAGATGCTGGCTTTGTGTGGGTTTGGGTATTGGATGCAGGGTTTTAGGTGCTTTCCTTGGCTTGCTCTCAACTTCTATATGGCTCACAATCTCAACTTGCATTCATCACCGTTGCAACTTTTGCAAAACTCTGGTAACTTTCCCATGGTAGCTAAGCCTCTTTATGGAATCCTCTCAGATGCTCTTTACACTGGAGGTGCCCGTAGAATACCTTATATTCTAGTGGGAGGTTAGTTGTCTTATATCTCCTCTGCTTTGTCTAGTGAAAAAAAAAAACCAAAAGCTCCGCCCTTCCTCTCTATCGATCCAAGTGATGGAAGGGCAGAGGCCGTTGGTGTCCCCTCCAGTCAAGAATTGGGGCCTCACAATCACTAGCCAATATGCTTTTCTCTCATATGTTTTTCAGTGTTCGTTGCTTCTGTTTAAGTTGCTCTTAATCAATCATTTTGACAGACAGTTTTTTGAATTTTTATGTTTTAAGCTTATTGTTGGAACTTGTATATGTTTTCTAAATTACGCTAGATTAAGTTTTATTGGGCTTTGATTCTGGCATTCTGACCTTTGCTTGAATTGCCTCCATTTCTTTTCCCTACGTAGTTATGCCGCAATATTCTTTTTATCAATTTCCATGTCCAAGCCTTCTGTGCATGGACAATAAAAAGATGAGGTACCTTAATTTGTCAGATTAGATTTCATAGTGGCTGACTTTGACCAGATTCTATCTCTTGTTATCAAGTGTAGTCTTTAAGAATGCTAGAACTTGAGGGTGTATAGCAAATGGTGATACCCCCCCACCCCTCAGATGTCTATTGGAAGACATTGTAGGGATTTTGTTGAAGGGAAGAAAATAGGTATAGATCCATCATGAGAGATAAGGGAAATTTGAAAATTTGAAAACTCAATTCTAAGCCTATTGTTATCATGGGAGTAAGTTTGTCACATCCCAAATAATTTTAATGAATTTATCTGGTGGATTGATCTAGCTTATGAAAGAAGTTGACAGAAGTGAAATTCTCAGTCTTTTTGCAGGTGCTAGCTTGGGGGCCACTAGCATTGATTCCAGTTGCACGGGAAGCCCTTGGAATCCTTATGGCATGCATTCTTATCAGTAATCTTGGCGCTTCTATCACAGAAATAGCAAAGGATGCCCTCGTTGCAGAATACGGCAAAAGAGACTTGGGGGCCTCCAGTCTTACGCATTTATGGCTTTAGCTGTTGGTGGAATCCTAGGCAACTTGCTAGGTGGTTGTTTTTTACAGAAAACACCACCCAAGACCATGTTCCTTGTATTTTCAGTTCTGCTATCTCTTCAACTGGCATTTTCATCAACAGTGAGAGAGAAATCTCTTGGTTTATCAGAACCATCCGATCACAACCTTGTGAAGAAATCAATTTGGGAGAATATTAGGAAGCAGATAAGTGATCTTAAAACTGCATTAAACGATGACAACATCTCCTGCCCTCTCACTTGGATTGTAGCTTCTATTGCCACGGTCCCGGTTCTCTCAGGTTCCATCTTTTGCTATCAAACTCAGTGTCTACATCTTGATCCTTCAATTATTGGAATGTCACGCGTAAATGGTCAGTTAATACTTCTTTCCACGACTATAATCTATGACCGCTTTTGGAAAGAAGTGCCTATGAGGAAATTAGTTGGTGCAGTCCAGTTTTTATATGCCTGTTCTCTTCTTCTGGACCTTGTTCTAGCGAGACAGATCAATCTTAAATTGGGAATTCCCAATGAGGTGTTTGCCTGTTGTTTTTCGGGTTTAGCAGAAACACTTGCACAATTTAAGCTCCTTCCTTTTTCAATGCTATTGGCTAGTTTATGTCCACAGGGTTGTGAAGGATCTCTTACCTCTTTCTTGGCATCATCGTTGTGTTTATCATCAATTGTTAGTGGGTTCTTGGGCGTTGGGTTAGCTTCTCTGATTGGAATAACATCTGGTAATTACTCAAGCCTGCCAGTGGGAATTTTGATACAGTTCCTTGCAGCATTATTGCCTTTAGGATGGATTCATCGTTTATCCATGTCCAAACCCATTGTTGAGAAGGAAAGAAGGCGAGGTATGAGTAAAAGAACACGAAAAAATAGAAGGGTTGGAAGAGTGGTGTTCGGATCTATTTATGTTTACCACCGTGAAAGAGAATCTGATTCTGATTCACAGAGATAAACAAGCTAGAAGGACGATAACATTTTGCTGGACAATGAGTGGTAGGAGATTGGAGCATTTGAATTGTCTTCACACTGCCGAATCGTTGAATCATATGGGAATGTGATGCACTGTTTGCTATCAGTTCTACCGAGCCTATCTCAGCTGCGCTAAGATTGGAATGACCCTTCAATTAGTACAAATCCTCTGGCAAAGATGATCAATTTGTTTTAACTGGATTATTGTTTCACAAATGTGCACACATACATCAGCTCAGTGGTTCCATTCAAGCATTCTTGATCATTGAATTTTGTTATTGGATCCCAAGACTTGCTTCTGATATTTCTTAAAGTGAGTAGTTTAATTTCCAGAGGATCATATCTGCTGCGCATCAAGTTCATCTGGCAACTTGAGGGATGGTGAACAAGGAGGAAGGCATGTGGATGATGCATTCGGCTGAGCCATTTTAATCATGGAAGGCCTATATACCCAATGGTTAACTTTTTGGTAGTAATTCCTCCATGTTTGACTGTGGTACTCTTATTCCTAAGCTGTAACAGGCCATTTCTTTACCAAAATAAACGCATCAGAGCATCTTTAGGGAGTTCCTCGTTGTATGAACGAGAATTCTGTACATGGTTTACATTACATGAAAGAGAAACTGACAAATTTTCATTCAAACCCTATTATTTGCTTGCTTGTCCCCAATTGTCTTCCATCAATTTTGTGGTGTTTGTATCGTTGCCGATGGATAGATAGCTAGATAATATGCCTTTGGACAAGAATTGACACAAAAAATTGTTCTTGCGGCTTCATGAATGAGAGTACATTATGGCTCCAGTTGCACTCTACTGTGTCTTGTATTATGTACTTCTGAGTGGAAATAGGCTCAGCTTCTGCCATAATACTAGAGCCATTTTGTCATGGACAATATCCTGCAATTTGTTTTTAACAGGAACTGACCAATATATGAGCCTACCGGTGAGAACATTTCCACATCCACGATGAACAGCTCAAACTTAAGTAGATGGAAGTCTTTCTGCATGTGAAAGAAACTCGAGAGTCAAGATAGGAAGCTACCTGGGTACAAGTCAACCGATTCAACGATCAACTCACTGGTGAGGTAATATGCGTTGAAGTAAGAAAGCATACTTTGATCTCAATCTCCCCGGTTATTAAAGGAGCCAGCTGGTTTGGCAAAACTACCTTAGTTTTTACCTCAAGAAGCCTTGGCACCCCGCCTCCGTAACGGTTGTACAGCTTAAGAAGAGCAATTTCAATTAAATGGTGTAAAACTATGGTTAGGGTTCTGCCTCATGGTGCTATTAATAAATCCTATAGCATGGATGCATGCAGGAGGGTTGAGGGTGCCGAGCAAGAGGGGAGGGGACAGTTGAATAGAGAAATGAAATTACGAGAGAAAAGAAAACATGAAAATTCCTATTCCGTGCATAGTTTGTTGACTAATCGTCGTATCAGAACAAGTTTGGCGAAGCGAACATCAAGCATTGATATCAGATGGTTTCACTTGAAGCCGCATTTATAAGAACCTTATGAACCACCAGCAACTCTGCTTTTTTATTTCAAGACGTTTGAAAATGATTATTTTTAAAAAAATTTTGTTTTAAAAAATTTAAAATAATACTTTTTTATTTTTTAAAATTTATTTTTAACATCTACATATCAAAACAATTTAAAAAAATTAATTTCAAGTAAAATTTTATTTAAGATTTTAATAAAAAAACATGTTAAAACACACTGCTAAACACCTTGTCATATCAAGCGTTTTGTGCTCCAAGAACCTTGTTGCTGGATGTTTTAATTCTTTGACTTGCAAAAAAAAAAAAAATGGAAAAAAAAAAGCAAAAAGAAGAAGTTGTAGACCCAGCAATGTTACTCAATGATTGCGAATATTGCTCCTTTGAATAGTTACAGAATGTGACTCACTGCCAGGCGAATGAGGTGCCAGTGATGCCACTAGCAGATCGGCATATCTTAAGATCTTGTCAATTATCTTCAAGATTGGCCGCACTCTTTTCGTTTCAATAATTTGTTGAGAATGGTCTCTGTCCAAACTACAAATCCACACAGCTGAACTTGAAATAAGTTTGGCCAGTTTAAGAATGCATGCAAAATTCACCTGCAAGAAAAATGATTTAAGATTTCAGTACATGCCTAGGAATCGTTTATAAGCAGGATTGTTTGCAAAAGTAAAAAGGACATAAGAAGAGTTCCCAAATCCAAAAAACAAAGGCTTTCCACTGTCTTAAGTAAATTTTCCATGAAGCCTATTTTTCTGTCCGAGGCAATTTTATCAAGCTTTTAACGAATGATTGGAAGGCTAATGCACTTGAATTGTTCCGAATTAGCAGTTGTGCGTCAAATTAAGACAATAAAAACCCTACAGAAACAAACAGCATACGAACCTGAATGACAATTTTTCAGCAAACATTTCCAGAGGTATGGACAGCAAACAAGTCTCGATCCTTCGGTTAGTGAATGCATATTTGTGGCACCTTATGGTTTAGACAAGATATCCTCAATAGTAAAGGGAGACAGATAACAGAAGATCAATATCCAGACACCCATGCAAAATTTTCAAAATCATGAGAAACAGCAGGTCCTTTAATCAGTAATATGAGGCCACCCAGCAGTTCATAGATTGACTTGGAACAAGGATGCAGTTTATCAGCAGCATAGAAAAAATGAGTAGTGTTATTGATGCTTATCCAACTGCACCCAGGAGTTTTTGTTAAGCATCTATCTTTCATCATTGTTCTCACCTCAGATACTACATCCCATCTTCTGGAAGATGCATGTAGATTTGAAAGCGAGACATAATTCGAAGGGTTTTCAGGTTCTAACTGAACAAGGAACCTATAAGCCAGATCCTGCATCTCAGAATTTCCATGGATTATGGAAGCACTAACAAGAGCGCCCCAAACACTTGGACTAGGTTCCATTGGCATAGTTTTAATATAATCTAAAGCTTGGTCCAGCTGGCCTGATCGGCCTAACATATCCACAACACAAGCACAAATCTCAACAGTTGGCTTAATTCTATATTTATTTATTGCAGACTTGTAGATGCACAAGCCTTCATCTACCAATCCTGCCCGGCTACAAGCAGAAAGAACCCCTACTATTGTTATCATGTCTGGTTTATTCCCCAGCTGAAGCATCTTGTTGTATACAAAGACAGCTTCCTCTCCCTTCCCGTGCAATCCATAGCCAGAGATCATTGAACTCCAGGATATCGGATCCCTATGAAAAGAACCAAACTCAAAGACTTGTTTTGCATGATCCAAGCTCCCACACTTGGAATACATGTCAATCAAAGCATTGCATAAAGAAACATCATTATTGAGTTGCTTCCTAATGGCATATCCATGAATTTGTTTCACTCCAGTTAAACCAGCAACCGCGCTACAAGCAGGAAGAACACTCACAAGCGACACCTTATTAGGTTCTACTCCATCCCTCACCTGCATTTCATGAAAAAGAACCAGTCCTTCTTCTAGAGCTCCATTCTGCACATAACCATTGATCATTGCTGTCCAAGCATAAACATTTCTACACTCCATTCTATCAAAAACCCTTCTACCCACATCAACTCTACTACTCCTGGAGTACATATCAATCAAACAGCATCCCAAATGAACTTCTGTACCAGAACCCACGGCCAATTCAATTCTCACGATAAACCCATGAAGCTCCCTCCCACGGTCCCTTTTCCCCATATGCCCATTACACAGAGTCAAAAGACTGGAAACTGTAAATGCATCGGGTTTTAGCCCCTCAATCTGCATGTCTTTAACAAAACCTGAAACCTCCTTATCAAAATTACGATCCCCTGAATCCGCATGACCCGATAGAATAACATTCCAAGAACCGACATTTCTCTCAGGCATTTCATCAAATAGTTTCAAACATTCAACAAAACCCCCACATTTGCTATACATTGACATAAGAGAATTGGCAACTATAACATCCAAAACAAACCCAGTTTTTAAACTTTTCCCATGAATCAATTTCCCTGCATTCAAGTCACCAGTGTCGTGGCAAACTTTTGACATTGTCGCAAGGGTATAGTCATCAAGCAAAACACCACGGCAACACATTTGATAAAACCAACCAAAAGCTTCATTATAAGCACGATTTTTTACGAACCCATTAATCAGCGAGTTCCATAGGTAAACACTCTTGAAATGTAGCGAGTCAAAAACGAGTTGGGACAGAGCTGGGACGCCGTATATAGCATACGCAGAGATGAGTTTGGTGGCCAAAAAGGGGTTTTGAGTGAAACCAAGAGAGAGAATTCGAGCATGGCATTGTTGAGTGAGTTTGAGAGACTTGTGGGTGAGCGATAGACGGAGTAAATCAAGGAGGTTTTCAGCTGAAGAGACCGGAGTGGCATAACAGTAATTACGGGAGCTTCTGAGGCTAACTGCTTTCCATACAGAGAAAAGGGTCATTTAGAGCTCTGGAGTCTCGTTTGAATTTGGCGGGTGATTCTTATCGTAGGGGAAAAAATCGCCTGGGCCCATTGGGTACGAAATATGGGCCAGCCCGTACGTCGCTTTCTTAACAATGGATACTTATTTTTCAAATCTGGATTTGGCCTTTATTTTCACTATGCTTAGTTATCTTTTATAGTTTTTTAATACGTTTTCAAGTTTATTTAAAGTTTTGAAAACAATTTCTCATTTTTTTATTTTTTATTTTTTATTTTATTTTTTTTCCAAGCCAAGAGATAATTTATTTTATTTCCTAATAATCTTGCATTTTCTTTTATCGTGTGATAGGATGTTTTATAAAATTGGATGGCCTAGATTCTATAGTGGCCAGCAAGGAATTTCTACATAACATCTTAATTTTAAACATCTTTCTCGATAATTATTATTATTATTAATAGGATGAACAGCTCTAGCTTGTAAAGGGCATTATTGCAGTAAATTATTCAATTTGTACTTTAAAAAGTTGATTTGTGCTTCATGAAACTTTTTTAAAAAAAAATAAAAAAAAATAAAAGAGAGAATGTTCTCTTTTCCCATCACATCCATATTATTTTCCACTTCCTTGATCACTAGAATTCATTCCTAGTCGTTTTCATGGAAGAACTCCTTTTTCTAATCTAACAGACACAAGCAGATCTAGATTGATTCTTACATCGTACAGCTCCTTCTAAGACAGACCTGCGTGTCCTTTTCTCTTTCTCATCCAGACCACTTCTATCCCTGATCGAATCTTGGTCTAATAATCTATAGTCAGTGGATTTGGATTTAGGAAAAGAATCGAGAAAATAATTCTATATAAATAAATACATTACTTTAAAAGAAAAAAAAATCACATATTATATGATAGAAAACAAGCTAGCTTGGATTTAAAAAAAAATGACTACAAAATCAGAAAGGATAACATGTGAAATAAGTGGGAGTGAGAGAGAATCTAGTTCCGATCTCAACATGGGATTCATTGATAGACACAAATTGATTAAATAAGATGATTTTTGCTGGTGTAATTTCAACCTTTTTTTTTTTCTTGACGAAAAGTATCGTGACATTAATAAATCAAAAGTACAACACGGATTGTACTAGATTGGAAGTACTCTCCACGATCACATATTTTATTTTCAACATATTTAGTTATTAGCATGGAAAGTAAAAGGAATATATGATTTAATAAAGCATAATTTATTTTTTTATTATTTATCACAAAATTCCTAACCATTTCATGAATATCCATTAACAAAATTCTCTTGGATCTATATCTAACAAAAAAAAAATTGTGCGGGATTTATCATTAAACTACATAACAATTATCATCTCAATTGTTATTTATTTTATATTTAATTTAGTTAATGATTTTACAGAATAAAATATTGCTTAATTTTAACAAAACTTGAACAAAGTTTTTCTTGTGTAGGAACTATATCTAAATTTTTATACCACTTAAAAATACATGCAAATAATTATAATAACCAAACACAATAAATTTTTATATTTCATAATTACAGATAACATCAAGCTTACAACTCAAAGCACAAATCTTAGTTATTTTCACCTACCATATTTATTAACTCTATAGTTTTATATAAGAATGTTTTCATTAGGTGAATACAAATAAATATACACATATTTAAAAGAGATATAAAATACTTGAATAATACAATATTTTACTAATTAAAATCTCAGAAGATGTCAATATAACACATCTATCTATCTGTGTTTACTAGATGATTTTGGCTCATTAATAGCACGACGACATTCTGCTACTCTAGTACTTGAGTGGTTTTGTTCTTTACCACGACATTATCAAAAGGTAACATTTCTTCAAAGTTCTCAAGTGCATTACGAAAAACATTGAACCGCCGAGATGCATAAGTTTATCCTTTATGTTCTTCGTCAATATTACAAAGCATAAATGCGACCTCTTAACCCTCCCTTAAAAACAAGCCAACCTAATATTAGATTAAAATATCAATAAACATTAATGTTTTGTTATATGATATTTTATACTTGTAATACAATTTTATTTCATTATGTATGCTTGAAACTATCATTGAAAGATTATTTATCATAAGGGTTGATATAGCATTAGTAATAAAATTTACATCGAGTTCATGGTGCTCTTTTTGGATAAAGGTCAGGATACATGTATGCGGTTCTTTTAACTTTGTTATCTCATATAAATCCGATCTTTTTATGATATCTCTCATGAAAATATCACTTATATTCAGATTCTTGCACACATTGTAATTAAATAAAGGTCGAGTTTGATCATTGAACTTGATATTCAACTGAATGTACAATGTGTCATTATTTGCTATATTAAGTAAATTATTTTTATTGTTAATATTTTTTTCAACCTCTAAATTAGAGCATCCTAGGAAACATTTATGACTAAATGCTCAGTTATGAGAAACAATAAATATAGACCCAAAAACATCTTTAAATTCATAAAAAAATAGGTATTATTTCATTGTTGACATCATCATTAATATTTATTATCACATTTGAGTTTAACGCCTCATCATCTTCATTGACACTAGGATTAGAATAGTGAAATCTATGTTGATCAACGAATGAAAAGTTAATCATAGTATTATCAATACTTTGAAGTAAATCATCTGATAATAAACAGTTTTTAATGATGTTGAAGGTTGACAGATTGTGATGTACTTATACATATTTGATCAGAAGTTAGGACACATAAAAAATTGGTGGACTGCTCAGATATAATACCATAATGTTCAATCCACTTTAGATGAAAGAATCAATCATTATCTTAAAACTATTATCACATATATTCGATACAGAATAATATTGATGTTTACCTTTCAACATAAATAACATTATAATTACACTCCAAGTTCATAACAAATAGTTTCTTTTTTCGTGCATGACATGCCTAAATTATCATTTAATAAAAAACTACTCCTGTCTTTGTATGTGATACTACTGTTCACATCAAAAACAGTAGTGTCACCATGATGACATAATATAAAAATATTATACAACATTCTATATAAAAAAAAAATCTTATTTCAATCAATTGGATATAATTTTAACTAAATTGCATTACTTCAATAATAATTATCAAAATTTATAGCAAATTCAAACAGCTTTCTAAAATTTAATGCAATACATACTTCACCAAAATTAAACATAATTCATTATATAAAATCCAAATTTATAGCAAATTCAAACAATTCAAAGAAAATATCAAATTTGGCAACTTATCAACAATTTATTGCAATTTGCAACTCATTAAAATTATACATCATTCATGCTCTATTGCATGAAATTATCAAGCATAATTAATAACATTATTAGTTTATTCCATCCAATTCATATAAAATTTCTTATTCGACAACTTATCTAAAATTCAACGCAATGCATAATTCATTGAAATAATTAATTTCTAATTAATTGATGTTATTTTAATGTTTATCTATATCAAATCACTCCTAATTGATATCAGTACTAGTAATTAATTTTTCATTAATTCAATAAACCATAAATTTAACCTAAACATGGACAATAATTTCATTTCAACTTATAAAATAAACACAAATTAAATATAAAACTCATATATTTAATAGCAATCTGATATGTTTATCTAGGACTAGAAAGTGTTGGTGTAATAGCAGAGAAAAACGTTCTCGGATGCTTAGGAATTAAGATGAGTTCAAGTTTTTGTGGTGTTTTAAAGATAAAAAACAAGTGATTGGGGTGTTTGTTTCTTCTTTTTTGTTTTCTTCTTCACTGGGAGTGAATGAACGAGTTACATTTACAACTTGTATAGATCCGTTGAATTTAATCAAATTAATCAGAAGTATTGAAAGCATTATAAAATCATCATCATAACCTTCTTTTCCTCTAAATCAAGTGATAAAGTGTAAGAGATACAGTGGTCTGGTCTCTAGTTAAGAGGCAAAGGCCGGATTTTAAATCCTTGCAAAAATTAGATATGATGGTAACTCATTTGCATGTTCCCCTAGGATTTTTTTTTGTCATGAATAAGACTTTGTGCGTGTGCGTGAGGTTTTTATTTTTTCCTTCCCTTTTTTCATATTTGATAATGAAAAGATAAAAAAAAAAAAAAAAAAAAAAAAAAAAAAAAAAAAAAAACAGTAAAAACCAATGCTTTGAAGTTTGAATAGCTATGTATAATATGGGCAGCACCCCTTTTATTAGCTACAGGACAAGTAGAAAGATCCGTCGGAGGACTATCCGAGGTTGTCACATGGCTAGAGGCACCCGTTTCCTCTAGTTGATAGTCTCTTTTTAATGGGATTGAAAAGATGAAGTGAAATTGAAGTGCTAAATAAATTTTCATTTTCATGAATTTCTTAGTTTCAAATAATTGAATTTAGATATAGGAAAATTTAGCACTTTGTCATAGGAAAGAGGAAGAGGGTGAAGGGTAAGTAGCTTGTGCTATCGAGTTTCCATGATCCTGTGAAGAAGTAAAACGCAAGAGCAGCAAGTCATCCAAGAGAAAAAGGACTGCAAATTAAGCTCTTGAAGTGGAGGTCAGAGGCCAGACGCGTCCACACCTCAATTCATATGCAAAATTGGAAAAGCTTATTGATGGAGTACATGATTAAAATCTAGAGAGATACAGTCACCAAAATTTCATAACTCAAGCATCAATCCAAAGCTGCAGATTAAGAGCCTTCATTTGATGGCAAGCTAAACAGAAACAGTTGAAACCCCAAGAAAATGTAACAGCGCTAGATGATCAGTTAGCAAAAAGGTGACACCAAATTGTGCATGCAAGCTCTGCTTGTTGCACATGCCACACCAAAATTTCCATGGACATCATCCAGGTTCCACAAGCCATCCCAGATTATGTCCTCGTTCAAGGCCTCAGGCACCGATGCATTGAACATGTTATAAAGCAAGACATGCTCCTCGGTTGTGTTGGGGTATAAGGCATGAGGTGCCGTTTCCTGCCTCATTTGAGGGGTATATGGTGCGTTGTTTTCGTTTTCATCGAGCGAGGACATGATCTTCTTCATGTCCAAGTGATTTAGCTGCAGTAGTTGCTGATATTGGATTTGTTGCTGTTGTTGCTGTAGCTGCTGCTGCTGCTGCTGTTGAAATTGTTGCCTCTTTAAGAGATGAGTCCTTGCCTTGTCTGAGCTATCTGGAGAGAGCTTGGCCGCCTTCTTGAAATGGGTCCTCCAGTAGTTCTTGATCTCATTATCAGTTCTTCCTGGCAAGCTTCTAGCAATTGTGGACCACCTGATTTAAAAAAAAAAAGAATTAATTATCTATATGCTATGAAGCTTATTTAGAAAATTGCAATGAAAACTCAGAGAAAAACTCAAGAAGAATGGTGGGAGTTCAAGTTTTTACCTGTTCCCCCACCTAGCATGCAGCTCCACAATAATTCTCTCTTCATGTGGGGTTATCTGCCCCCTCTTTAGGTCTGGCCTCAAGTAATTCACCCACCTCAATCTGCAGCTCTTTCCGTTCCTTTTCAACCCTACAGAGCAGAAGACAGATACGAAATGCAAAAACATCAGTCCTGAGTAGAAGTGCTATAGTCTATGATGAACACTGACATTTACTAAACAAGTAAGGAATCCACAGGCGTCCTTAATCACTAGGAGTAAAAATTGGATTCCTTGTCACAGGGTACGGCACCAATGCAGCTGTACAATCTAACTGAGCTTGGCAATTTCCATTTACGCAGGCTAGAACACTGAGTTAGGACTTAGTAGCTAATTAGAGAAAAGGTTGTGTGTATACGAGTTAGATGCACACCTGCAAGCCTAGCGACAGAGTTCCATCGTCCTTCACCATGCAGCCTTACATATTCAACAAGCAACCTGTCTTCTTCAGCAGTCCAGGGTCCTTTCCTCCAGACCTCTTCAATGAGACCACCCCAGCGCAACTGCCCTGCCATAACTCCCAAAGAGATGTGCAAAGGAGGGAAAAAAGGCTTAGGTTTGTTAAAGTGTTGGCAAAGGCTGTCTTCCAAATTCTGTGCATCTGGGTTTAGAGTTTGTTGCATATTTATGCCTGAACAAAAGCCCCCAATTCCATCCCATCAGTCAATTTAGTGTCACCATCACATCATCCCTATCTTTCTTCCGTGGTGGGTGCTGGTGATCTCCGAGATACCATCTGACGTCAATTTTAATAATTGTTTTTTAAAATAATATTTTTTTAATTTTTAAAAATTATTTTTAATATTAACGTATTAAAATTATTTTAAAACACAAAAAAAATATTAATTTGAATTTAAAAATTTGAAAAAAAACACACACACACACACATAAACTCCCCTTGTTTTATCTATATACCCTCTCATTGCTTTGAGTTTTCAAATTACTGGCATTTTAATCAAGTGGTTGTGATGCAATGATCAAGTTTTCCATGGAAGGGAAAAGGCCTGTGCCACTCATACCAATACATGTGATACACACAAGGGCAATTGGGAAAATCTGAAAGATTGTCAAGACATCGGGTGACATGTCGTAAGAAGGATCGAATCCAATTAGATTAGGTTTTGTTTTGATGTAAAGTGAGACAAGGAGAGATAGTAATCTGATGGGCTGATGCCACGTATAGAGTAGGGCTTATGCATCAAGACACTAAGAGTAAAAGCCCCAAAAGCATAATCTAGATTTAGCAAATTAAAAACACATGGGTGGTGGGTTATTTTTCACTTGAAAATTACCCGTGCGCCAATAGGATCTTAACAGCTGTTTGATTTGCTTACTTCTCTAGGAGATTGATACATACAATCTCCCTTATAATGTAATTAAATAGAGTTGCTGGATACCATTTTACGCGGTGGAGACATTATAATATCGAACCGTACGTCACCTTGTTGACAGGTGTCTGTTTTCCAGATCAAAGTGTTCCGTGAACTAGCTGCGTACATTTTTGTCATGATTTTTTATTTATTTATATAAATATTCGGATTAACTTCTCCATATTATAGTTAATTTAATAATTTATTGGATATCATATAAGCCCAATAAATATATAAAATATCACGAGAATAACATATATGCATATTAAAACTTAAACCTAAATATAAAGAAAGAGGATAAGTCTCTTTCATTACTAGGCTAATATTTCACATGTTTTTTTTATAATTTTTTGTTTGGTGTAGTAATATAAATTAATTATTAAAAATAAATTAAAATTTTAGAAAACACTATTTAATAACATTTAAAAAAAATGGATGATCGGTAAAAAAAAACTGAAAATAAAGAAAACACTCGAAGATCATGATGATGTATTTCCGAGTACGTGTTGCATGTACAAATACAGGCAAATCTACATTAGGAACTGTAACACAAACAAAATTTGCAGTGATCAAATCTGCCAATGCTAGCATGGTGGTCACAGAAAATCAAAGTAGACGAGACCATGGTCCATCTCTTGGAGTTTGTCACCAAGAAAAAAAAAAACTAATTGATTAGATCATTGAAGTGATTTGTCATGGCCATCAGCCCATTACATAAGCTCAGACCATGGAGCAGCGTGTGACTTGACCATTCCACTATTTTAATAGTTTATATTGTGATTATTTTTTATAATATTTTTATTTAAAAATATATTAAAATAATATCTTTTTATTTTTAAATAATATTAATTTAAAATAAAAAATAAATATAAATATTTTAAAAAAAAATTAAAATACAAAAAAATAAAACTTGATCAATTTTAAATGAACTAAAAAAATATTTAAAACCAGAAAAAAAAATCACATGGTACTATTTTCCCTCAACCAATTATCTTGTTTAAAATATCTGTTTTTATTTTGAAAATTAAATCGCACTATAATCCTAGAGAATGACATAATGGCATAAAAAAAGAATGTTCACTCACACGTAACTGTATCAACCCAAGAATCCCTTCACAATTAATTAATCCAATCAGACACCGCTAATCCTTGTTTTTTACGGGTTTTTGAAGTTAAAAAAAGTTGGTCCGTCAGCATAAATGTACACTGCTTAAACTTGATTTGTTTTACAGCTAAGCATTATTAGTGCACTTGAGCTTTATCACGAAGCTACAAAGATCTCTTGTGGTTCCTTGTTTTGCTACTTTTGTGTTGTCTTTTCTGCTAACTGGGTGTCTTTTCAAAGCAGATTAGGATAGAGTTCTGAGGATGCTGTGGGGTTCCAAGGTGTGGTTTTTTAACTATAAATTTATTCTCTCTTGTTTTTACTTATAGCATTTTTTAATAAAAGTTTTAAATTTTAATTTTTTAAGATTATTTTAGTCTGTTAATATTAAAAATAAATTTAAAAAAATATACTTTAACAATTAACCACCAATATAATATCGAATATTATTTAATTATGTGGCATGCCCATTAGTATCTAGAAGCCTGATAAGCATGGGATCACAGTTAACAAATTAAATAGACCAGATTAGGATATGGGAATTGGTTTTGATCAAATTTTATCATTGGATTTCATCTGACCAGTCAAATAAATCAGACTGTCTGATATTTTTGCTGAGTCAGAATTTCACTCGCAAGCTGTCCTTTCATCCAAATTAAAAGTGTTACATGATTTTTTAAATTATTTTTTATTTTTAAAAAATATTAAAAAATATTTTTTATTTTTAAAAAATTATTTTTTATATCTATACTTTAAAATATTTAAAAACACTGAAAATAAATTTTAATAAAAAATAAGTTGAGACTCATTTTCATACAATATTTTATTTTTCTTGATAAAATTAGAAATGATGTCTGGATTAGTATTGATTCTTAAGATTTTTTTTTATTTTAATGTTGGTATTTGAATCAACCTATATATATCTCAATTAATTTCATAATATTAAAGTTAAAAATAATATAAATATTTAATAATTTTAAAGTTTTTAAAATTTAATTGATAATTTTAAAAAAACAAATCTAAATGATAATTAATTAAATTATATATTCTTAGTATCTTGGTTGTCTTGTCTCTAGTTGTCGCTTGGACTCATGGAATTTTTTTAGCTTGTTTTTTATATTTTTAAAAATTATTTTTTTATTTTAAATTATTTTAATATAATAATTTTAAAATATATATATATATATAATACTTAAAAATCACAATATAATACATCTTCCCTCAAAACTTAACAAGCATGTAGCTGATGGTAACAGAATTCTCTAGGTTAATTGATAGTTGGAAGCAGTGGCTGAGCCGGTCCAAGATTGAAAGGGTCCTTCAAGTTTTGTAAATATTTCATAAAAGTTCATGCTTAAGTACATGACGACCTCTTGATTTCTTTTTTATTATTATAGAAAGATCTCTTCAATTTAACAGAGTGACACCTTAGCCATTCAATATCAAACTTTGAATCCAAATTTTGTTCGTCATGCTATACCTATGCCTTTCCACCCAAGCACAGATTAGAAAATCTTCAAAGATAGAGAAATTTAAGATTTTGTGCCATTATATATATATACACACACAGACAAGAACTTTAATATCAATATTTTGCCACTGTAGAGCGTCGATCATAAAATAGCTGGTTTCTATATCTACAAGAATATTTGATATTATGATTAAAACGTTGTTTATTTAAAATTAATTATTTTGATATTTTTGGATCATTTTAATATCAAAAATATTATTTTGATGTATTTTTAAATATAAAAATAACTACTATTAAATGATTCTGAATTCAATTACATCCATTTCAAGATTAGAAGTCTTAATCTTTATTACAGGTTGTTTCTTTGAGGCTAAGCTTCTAGGTGTCGCAAATTGACAGGGGAAATAAAGTAATGAACAGTCCCGGCCATTTTCTCCCCTCTAATTGCCGTCTCTTATGGTCAAAATCCTGTTTAATCACGCGCCACCAATTGGACCGTTGTTTGCTGGGCTAGGGCGGCAAATAAAATACGATGAATTACAGTAGCATGGTATTGATTAAATCAAGTGAATAGATATTTTGCCTTTTTTTTTTATTCCAAGATTCAAGGTTTCAATGAGTTCTTGAAAGCCAATGACAAAGATCCGGGCAGGTAAATTAGGATTTTAAAACTATCTTGAACTGAAAAATCGACTTAAAATTCCTCTCTATGGCGCTGCTGTATCTATCAGGGAAGGTAAAAAGAGTGTGTTAATGGCGGTGGACATAAACCAACCCAAGGCTGAGTCAACACAAATTCTCGACCACATTTGACCATACCTGTAAAAGGCCACAAAAACATGGACGTTCATATGGGTTTTTTTCCCCGCTTGCATGAACTGTATTGATGATGGTCGTCGTCTCCTAAAAAAATCTCCATCCAATTCGAGGAGTGTGTAATGAGAGTCGATGAATATCAATTCATATAATTTAGTTTGAATAATTTTTTTAAAATAAAATAAAATTGAATCAAACTAAATAAAATAGAATAATTAAAATAACAGATTTAATTTAAGTTTATATTTTAAAAAATTGATCATAATTTATAAGTGTTTTAGTTAGGTTGTTTTTTCCAAACTTGGTTTTTAATATGCATTTAAATTATAATGAATTTTTATGGCTGGTTTGGTTCGATTAGATTTGTTTTATTTTTAAAATTTGAAATTAGAATGGAAACTTGAATTGAATTTTTTTGAAAAATGAACTAAGAATATTTAAAAAATTCAAAAAATATATTCAATTATTTAGACTAGTTTTCATGAATATCCTGGGCAATTAGTTAATTTACCCACCCTAGTGACATGTAGTGACGTGAGCTAAGTGTGCACGACTACATGTTTTTTTTTTTTTTTATGTATAGTGAATGATCTGGATGATTGCATCTCATGAATCGAATGCCCAAATGGACAATGTTCCTTTTCTCTATACCTTGTTAAATGTAGAGTTCGAGCAGCAGGTCTTGCTTATTTTCCATGGCAATCCATCAAGCATGTCACATTATCATGTATTTTTTATATTTTCTTAATTTGGTTTCTTTACTCTATCTTTATTTTTATTTTCTCAAAAAACTTGGTTTCCCTACTCACAAAAAGTTTCTTAACACGATAC